GAAGGATGTTTTGTTGCCAGTTGTTGATAATGATATTTAAGAAAATATTATGAACAAAAAGAGGTTTACAAAGGTTACAGTTCATACCATCAAACCCTCCTTTGTCAACTTCCTGCATTGCAGATGGACTTCACTTTTCTTTTTTGAATACTAGGTGTATTTTACAACACTTTGATCCTGTTCAAAATCCCGTCCAGGATTTTGGCTCTCCCTTTTCCCTAATGAAGCCCATATTCATTGTCTTAGCATTTTTTACTTTATCCCCTCTTTGACCCCAATTTGTCTTTCCAGTTTAGTTTCTAACCCTCCCTATACAAACCTATACTCTCACATTATTAGACATTTCATCATTCCTTAAGAAAACCTTGCACTGATCTTGTACCATTTCTAATGTCATCTTCTCTGTGAAGCCTCTGTGATCCCTCCAACTAAGAGATTGGTCCTTTATCTGCACTTCTGTAGTCCTTTGTACTTCCCATGTGGCATCCGTCACATAGGTGTTGTATTGTTATCTGTATCCATCTTATCTCTCTTACTACATTGTGAAGTACCTTAAAAGCAGAATGGGAGTTAATTTCTCCTAGGACTATCACTCACAATACCTAACATGGTGTTTTACATATACAAAATGCAAGATGATCAAGTGATATTCCCTGTGTATGCAGCAGGTCACTTTCAGTGGCAAAATAACAGAAACCTAATGCACACAGGCTTAGTTTCTAAAAGAGGAATGTATTGACTCATATAAATGGCCAATCCAGGGGATGCAGCTGACTTTATGCATAAAAGGATTGAGGGGCTCAAAGAATGTCATTACTGTTATCTCTCCTCAACTCTCTGCTTTTTTCTATATCTCTTTGTCTTCATTTTTCAAGGAGATATTTTCCACATGGTTTTCAAGAAAGGCACATACAACCTCAGGTCACATACCCCAGGGAAGAGAACTATTGGCTCTTCCTGGGTTTCATAAAGTTACACCAGATATAGAATGAAAGCATAGTTTTTAATGGAACTCAAAGACAAATGATAAGAAAGCACGCTGGACAGTAAAAAACTATAAAATTACATTAAAAAATTACAAATCAACTTGCTAAGAGTCTTACAGAGTAATGTAAAGGTTAGCCTTACCATTTTTAAATTTTAGTGGAAATATCAAATCAGCAAGCATATATTATACAACTGTGTATTATGCTCAATAGACACATACAATATAAAAGCCAAACTCAACCACTGAAGAAATGTAGTCTAGTTGGTGGCTAAAAAAAATTTGATGCATGACAAATAAATGAATATAAGTCATGTTAATAACCAAATGTTAAAAATTGCAGCACCAGTGGCACCTGGGTGGCTCAGTTGGTTAAGCGTCTACTTTTGGCTCAGGTCATGATCTCAGGGACCAAGGATCAAGCCCAGCATGCAGCTCTCTTCTCAGAAGGGTGTCTGCTTCTCCCTCACTCTCTCCCTCTGTGTTCTCTCTCTCACACTCAAATAAATAAATAAAATCTTTTTTTAAAATTGCAGCACAGATGATAATTTTAATAATAACTCAGAGGGGCACCTGGGTGGCTCAGTCAGTTAATATCCAACTTTGGTTTTGGCTCAGGTCGTGATACTGGGGTTGTGAGACTGAGCCCCTCGTGGGGCTCTTCACTGAGTGCGAAGTCGGCTTAAAGATTCTCTCCCTCTGCCCCTCCCCCAACTCAAGCACCCACTCTCTCGATCACTCAAATAAATAAAATCTTAATGGTAATAATAATAATAGCAACTCTGGAAAGACAGGGTGATTGTTGAATAGAATGCTCTTTGAAGGTTTTATAGAGGTTTGGAAAACTGTTTTGTTCAGTGAAAAATGGATTGTTTTTGAATTGTTGGAAGAGGGTAGGAAGAAATTAGGGTGGAAGGAAAGAAAATTGAATGGTCCAGAGGTAGGCATTCTATTTGTGGAGTCATAATTGTAGACAACAACTCAGATGGAAAAGTTGTGTCTGGAATGAGGTGAAATGGTTATAGTGAAGTTAATTTAAAGCAGACTTTGAATAGTGGGACTCTGAGTTTAAATTTGACCTAGCTCTAATTTCTACTATATGCAGGTTCAAAGAAGAGCTGAGAGGGAAATCCAGCTACAGGTCATGATAAAATTGGAGTTCAGTCTTTGGAATAATATTTCTACTGTGAAATAGGGGTCAACATTTCCATTTATGTGGGTTGTGAGCTGCACAGCACTAGTGGGCACCAATCACATTGCAGTCTCTTGGGGTTGTGTAGTGCACAACACTTATAACCGTGTATGGCTATTAAAAATAAACCCACAAGCCCAAGATTGAGTTATTTGACCCCAGAACAGCGAATGAGGAATTAACTGCAATTTCAACATCTCCAGGAGTAGAATTTTAAGCTAGTCAATTTAGAATTTTGTGGTCAGCACCAATGAGGTAATTCTGTTACATGGGCCCTCTCTATCCCCCAAAGGAAGATGAGGTAATGCACCTAATAAATCCCCCTGCCCTTTCCTGTAAGGGAAGGTGACCTTGCCTAGAACACTCCCTTTTTTTCTTTTGCTAATAACTTATTGTCCCACCCTCTTTCCTATAAAAACCTTCCATTTTGTACAATTCCCCTGAGCTCCTCTACTTGTTAGGTGGAATGCCTTCTGATACAAGAATCAATTAATAAAGTCAATTAGATCTTTAAATTTACTCCATTGAATTTTCTTTTTTAACTTGGCCAATCTGGATAACTTTCAAGAAACAAAAGAATATATCAGTTCGACATTGGTGGAACACAGGTAGGTGTTAAGTAGAACTTAAAGAGAAGGAAAAGTGGGGACTAGATTATGGATTGCCTCAAATTCCAGACTAAAATATGGACTTTGTTCTGTGTTTAATGCAGAGGAGAGATTGGGGAAGCCATTGAAGGATTTTGGATGGAACAGTGTTTTAGGTGAATTAAATTTAGTCTACAGGTTGGGGATATATACAAGGAGCAGAAATTAGCAAATAGTGAATAATTAAAAAGTCATTCATGTAGTGCAAAGAAAGTGGACCATGAGATTGTTGGGTCCCCCAAAATTGGGTACCCCAATAATGGGTCCGTGATTAAAGGAGCGAGACTGATACAAAGCGAAGGTCGAGCAAAACTTTATTTTGCGTCAAGCATCAGGAATCAGACTGACCGTCAAACAGACCGGTCGGGGCTGCCCCTCCAGAGAGGATGACCCCTCCCTGCTTTCCATACTAACTTTTATAGAGCAGAGGCCATGTTGTTGGACCTGGCCACACACAGGTGGCCAATGAGATTGTAACACACAGAGGAAACTCCACAGTGATGCTAGGTGACCAACTGAATTACAATTTACCCTAGCAGACATTTGAACCAGCCTATCACACCTTGGTTAGGATTGGTGCCAAAAGGCTCCCAAAGGGCGGGGCCCATACTCCTTGGTAGCTAGGCGACAGTATGCGCCCCCCACTGATTGAATACCTCCACCTGGCCTGACCCACCCTTGTATTTGGACTTTGTTACCTGGGACTGGTTTCCCAGACTTGCTTTTAAATAAGTTCCCCTGGCGGGGGGCAAGGTCAATTTAAGTTTTACAACAAAATGGCAGTTCAACCGGGGTAGGGCTGCTCTGGCTGAATAGGCCCTTACAAGATAGAAACCAGAGGAGATATTTGGGAGGTGTTTTGGTTTGGTTCAGTTTGGTTTTTAAAGAAAAAGAAGGAAATGCAAGAAAGAGGGATTTTATAAATCTTTTATGAAAGAAATATGTGCCCTGGAACCTATTATTATTATTATTTAGGTAGAGAATGAAGGATAAAAATTACATTTCTTTCAGATCACTCCCAGTGACTTTACTACTGGCAGTTGTATAGGTTTTTAAAGTAATTTCAGATATATTATTCCATACGGATATAGACGCTTCTTGAAATCATAAAATTAAACAATGTCCTAAGCTTATATAAAAAAAGATCACATCTAAAATATAGAAATTGTGATTCATAACCTACAATAGAGTGCAATGTAGAATTTTAGTGACAACTCTGTTTATTTGGACCAGAAAAGAATGAATGGGCAGTGGCACCAGCATGTCAAAATCAGACTTTTCATGTGTTTTGGATCCCATTATTTTTCTGGATCCCATTCTTCTTCAGGGACTTGTTCCCTATCTTTCCTCTTCCCATCACTGAATTTGCTTTCAGCATTTTAGAAAAACATTCTCTAACCATCCTGGGTCATCTCCTCGCTGTCCCTCAGTCCATGCTGCAGGCAGAGCAAGGGTACATTTCATGTCTCTTGTTATTTCTATTGGACAGTTTTCAGTATTTACCATCTTTGACCTCTCTACAGTGGATAATAGTTTTCCTTTCCTTTATTCTTGAAACTCCTGCCTTGGGTTCCAGGACCCATTCTGTCTGAACTATGTTGCCTCTACACCCTTGACTTTCTCCTGTCTCTTCATGTTAGTAATCCTCCAGGGTTCCATCCTTCACACACTACTCTCTCTCATTATACCTGCTTTATCTGGGGAATTTTATTCACTCCTCCTAAAGCATATACACTGAGAGCTGTCAATTCTATATCTCTAATCCAGCTCTAAAGCCATGTATTTACAATAGGATGTTACATACATGCTCCACAAAACATGCCCGGCACTGAACTTCTTACTAGTACCTCAGCTCCATTCTTCCTTCCCTATTCTCTTCCAGATGTATGGAACCACCATTTATGCAAGGAACTATGGTAGAAAACAGCTATCCTTGATTCTTTTCTTCTCCAACCTCCACGTGATTGTTAATTTTAGGTGCCAACATGATTGTGCCACAGGGTATACAGATATTTGATTGAACATTTCTGGTCGTGTCTATGAGGGTGTTTCTGGATGAGATTAACATATAAATTGGTAGATGTAATAAAACATATTGCCCTCCCACTCCCCTTATCTAAACCATGAAAGGCCTGAATAGAATAAAAGGCTGAATAAGAAAGAGGTCTTCTTTTTGCCTTAAGGTCTTCAACTTGAAACATCAGTCTTCTACCTTTGGACTCAAAGTTGGGTTGACACGTATCAGCTGCTCTCCTGGTTCACAGGCCTTTGAACTTCAATTGGAAATTTGCCCTCAGCTCTTCTGGGTCTCCAGCTTGCTGACCACAGATCTTGAACTTCTCAGTCTCCCTAAGCACATGAGACAACTCTTTGTGGTACAACTCTTTCTATAGAAAAGTGTGTGAAAAAAAAATACACACACACACACACACACACACACACACACACACACACACACACTTTTGGTTTTCTTTCTCTGGAGAACCCTGACCAGTTCAGATTTTGGTACCAAGAGTGGATCTAGAGGACCACAATTTTAAGGATGAGTTTTCTGAATTAGTTCTGAGGTTTCTGAAATTGGCTCTCTAATCTCATTAGATTGATAGATGGTAATGACCCTATTTCCAATAGTGAAGAGAGCACTGATAGTCCCTTGCAAGATCTGGAATCAGAGATATGCAAAATATCTTCATTAGATATTCTAATCAACCAGTTAAAAGAAGTAAGGAACTTGGTGACTGCAATTGTGATACTTTCAGACATTTTTGGAAATCTAATGAATTTAATGAGGCTGGTTGGTTGATCATGTTGCTGGAGATCATGTTGCTGGAGAAAGTGATGAAGGAAAGGATGAGCTCAGGGAACTGAATTTTCAGTTCAAGTGTCACATAAATGACCTAAATGGTTCTGTGTGTGCCCTAAAGGTGACCCTTATCTCCTGCAGCCTTAGGGCTGAGATTCTTGAAAATCAAACACAATTTCATCCTGCAGTTGGCTGAATTACAACACTAGTTGAACTCCTAGCTCCACAGGGTGTCCACTGTTCAAATGAGGGCATTGATTGGGAAAGAATAGAATATTGCCAATTGGAATGCGGACCTGTAAGAAGAGCCTGATGAGGCTGGGGACATTGAGCCTCTAAATTCTGGCTAGTCTTCTTTCCCAGTGGAAGTGGACTCCTTACTCCCAGTAGTATTGGCTTCTCCAATTCCCCCTACTTCCCTTTGGAGGGAATTAATTGTGCATTGCCCAAGGAAACTGTAATGCTATGCAATACAAAGCTGATTTTCCTTAGGACCCACATCTACTGCTCCTCTTTACTTCTAGACATGTAACTAGACTCAAATTCCAGAAGGTCCCAAGGATGAGCTACAAAGCATGACCAATGAAGAGGTGTACTACGCTCAAAAGAATTATGTGAGTTTTCTGATTTATATAGACTAAAATATGGAAAATATGTATGGGAATGAATAATGAGGGTGTGGGATAATGATGGAAGAAGCAGAGTTGGATCTGGCTGATATTCTCAATATGGGCTTACTAAGCAGAGATCCTGGATTTAAAATTGTAGCTCAGGGAGTTGGGAAGGGTTTAACAGTTTTAGTTGATTGGGTAAAACAAGGACCAAAATGGCCTACCGTGAGGAAACTAGAAACACTTGACCTACCTTGCTTAAACGTAGAGGGAGGGATTCGAACGCTTATGAAGTTTGGAATGCAAATTTGCCGTATTAGTGGATTTTTCAGTTAAGACTTACCCACTCTGAGAGTCCAGGTGACATACCAGAGTCCAGAAGACACCTTTCACCACAACTCTGAGAAAAAAATTGTGAATAGTGCCCTAGCATCCTTAAAGAGCTCTTTGTAGGCCAGTCTCTACAGTGGGGACTACAGTCACTGAATAAGGAAACCTAAATGCAGTGGGAGTAATTGGATCCTGGGTTAGCAAGAGCCAAGTGGCAGCACTCAAACATCAAAGGCAATGGGCATTGTTACCATAATGGAGTGCAGTCAAGTTGTAATCAGAATAGTCTGAGTTGCACGAATCTATGGCATTGGGTGGTTCACCATGATGTTCCAAAAAATGGGATAGCTAGGAAGCCTGCTAAATTCTCACTTGATCTACCACAACAGAAAAGTTTTAGATCAAGTAGCAAAAGTCTAATCTGAATCATAAAAATGAGTCATGGCTTCTCAACCAATTCCTGCACTTGATCAGTTTTTAGACCTAGACCCCTTGAGTAGAGAAGACACTGAGCCCCCTCAAGACAGTCCCTGTACACCACCAAAAATTTATAATCTTTCTCCAAGCCTTCACTCAAAGGACCTCCAGGCTTTTACCAGGGAAATTGTACATTGAGAAAATAATGAAAACTTTTAGAGACTATGAGACACTGGCTCTGAACTGACACACTCATTCTAGAAGACCTGAAATATTACTGTGATTCACCAGTTGGAGGAGAGGTTTAGGGAGGTCATGTACTCTGGGGACTTTACCTCAGTTCCCTCTTACAGTGGGTCCGTGGGTCCTTAAACCCATCTGGTGGCTGTTTTTCCAGTTCTGGGATGCATAATTGGAATAGCTATAATTACGAGCAGGCAGACTCCCCACACTGGCTCCTTGACCTGTGGTGTAAGGATTATTATGGTGGGAAAGGCCAAGTGGGAGCCTCTGGAACTGCCTCTAACTAGGAAAATAGTAAACCAAAGCAATATTGCATTCATGAAGGGACTACAGAGATTGTGCCAGTATCAAGGATACAGGTGTGGCAACCCCATGACATTTCCATTCAACTCACCTCTTGGGTCTATGCTGAAGACAGATGGATACTGGAGCATAATGGTTGATTTTGTAACCTTTAACCAGGTGGTGACTAACTGCAGCTGTTATACCAGCTATGGGTTCAAATTGCTTTGAGCAAATTAACACATCCCCTGATATCAGATATGCAGCTGTTGATTTGCAAATGCTTTTTCTCCATATCTGTTAGTAGGAACAAGCAGAAGCTACCCGTCATGAAATGGATGTTATCTGACCCACCAAGCCGTAAGGTTAGCATGTAAAACAGCTCTCCACCAACAAATAGAAATGGTACGTATGTGGTGTGCTTTAAATGTACTGATGCTCATTTATATCTCAGAATATGGTCCATTTTAGTAAATGGTCCATAAGCACTTAAAAAGAATGTGATTCTGTTGTTGAGTGGAATGTTCTCTACATGTCAATTAGGTCTTATTGGTTCATAATGTTGCTCAGGTCTTTCATATGCTTACAGATTTTCTGGCCACCAGGAGAAAAGTATTGAAGGCTCCAACTGTAGTTGTAGATTGGTCCATTTCTCCTTGTTCTATTAGTTTTTGCTTCATGTATTTAGAAGGACTACTATTAGGCACATAGTCATTTTGGATTTTTAGGTCCCCTTGATAAATGGACCCCTTTTTCATTATGAAATGATCATCTTTTTTCTTGATAATATTTTTTCTCTGAAATTGACTTTCTCTAAAAAGAAAGTAAAATAAAATCTCCTTTCTCTATTATTAACATAGCCACTCCATCTTTATTTTGATTAACATTCTCACGGTCTATGTTTTCCCTTTTTGGGATTTTTAACACTTTTTATTTTGAAGTAAATTTTAGACTAACAGAAAAATTGCAAAAATTGTTCTCATGTACCCTTAACCAACTTTCCCTAACACAGAATATCTCTTCAGTCTCCCGGGGCTGTCTCCTGTTGGAGACATGGCTGCACTTGCCTGGGCTCCTCCTTCTCTGTGTGGCAGCTTTCTGGCCAGACAGTAGTTAGAGCAGTCATGCCTCTTTTGTTTCCTCTCTCTCTAGAAGCACTCTTTCTGGATGCCTTATGGATGAGCCATTGTGTCATACATTTTGTTCAGTTTTTTAGTTACCTCAGGCTGTGGTGTAAATCTGGACCCTTTATATAGTATTTTGTACCCTGTTTTTGTTTTTTCATTTAGCATTCATCATATCATGGGGTATTCTTTACGCATATCACTTTAGCAGATATGTTTCTGCCCCACGCATATAGGCTGGGAAATTTTTGCCATTTTCCTTCCCCCGGACTTCTGGTGTGCCTCACTGCCATGGGAGCTAGTACCTGGGTCTCCAGCTGCTGTGGCCATTTGGCTGTTGCACAGAGGATGGGGAAATTTCTGGGACTTTACACCCTTCAACCAAACCCTTAATGACTCCATGGAGCAGTAATATGAATATGGCAGCTCTCTTGCTCCTTAGGGGAACAACTCTGAGTATGATCTACACTTTTTCCAGAGCTCTTCTGAGTGAGCAAAAAAAGTTTCTTTGGGATTGCTCATTTGCCATCCTTCCAGCTATCCTGATTTTTCATGAGAATTCTTCCTAATAACCTTCCTCCACGTGAAAGCTTTCTTCAGGGTCTCTTTCTGAGGATTCCAAGCTAAACAACTAGCTTTAATGTCTGCTTAATATTTCTTTTAGAGATTCTTGACCCAATTCCAGCATGGGAGTGGGTTCTTCCCACCCATGACACCAAGCAATTCTTGGACACCAGCAGGCAGTCTGAAAATTCAGCTCAAGTCTAATCCTATCTATCTAGGGGAGTCTGGGTGGCTCAGTTGGTTAATTTAAGCGTCTGCCTTCAGCTCAGGTCATGATCACAGGGTCCTAGGAGATAGAGCCCCTGGTCGAGCTCCCTGCTCAGCGGGAAGCATGCTTTTTTTGCCTGCCACTCTGCCTGCTTGTGCTCTCTCTCTCTCTCTGTCAAATAAATAAATAAAATCTTAAAAAAAAAAAAAAGTCTGATTCTATCTACCCGAGATAGCTCAGCCCCACAAGACTGTACCCCCACTCCCAACCCCTTCAGACACTTGTCTCAAGCCCCAAACTGTTACCTGTGCTTCTGACCAATCTGTTACAAACTGGAGCTTCCAACAACCTCCTCCTTAAATTTGATTTGCTAGAGCAGCTCACAGAACTCCGGAAAACACTTATTTATGTTTACCAATTTATTAAAGGATATGATAAAAGATACACATCAACTAAATGAAGAGATCCATGGGGCAAGATATGAGGAAAGGGCGGGGAGCTTCCATGCCCACTATGGGCTTACCACTCTCCTCAAAGCTCCACTTGTTTACCAATCAGGAAGCTCTCTGAAATAAAGGACCAAAAAGCTATCTCGGGTTTTTCTGGAAGCTTCATTACATAGTCCTAATTGCCTAAGTCATTGCCACTGAGCTGGCCAGGCACCCATTGTGATAATTATCTTTGTATGCAAAAGTGTTTTCTTGAGTTCTAGACAACTTTCTGTGGATAGATTCCTAGAAGAGAAATTATTGAAAAAAGGGTATGATATTTTATGGTCCTTGATCTGAATTGCCAGTTTGCCTTCCAGAAAATTTATCAATTCATAGCTTCCTTTGCAGGATATCTTTGTTTAAAATATTTTTGAGGGGTACCCTGGGTGGCTCGGTCATATGGGTGTCTGCCTAGGCTGGGTCATGATCCCAGAGTCCTGAGATCCAGTGCCGCGGCAGGTTCCTCACTTGGCAGGAAGCCTGCTTCTCTCTCTGCCTGCCACTCCCTATGCTTGTGTGCTCTATCTCTCTGACAAATAAATTAAATCTTTAAAAAATATTTTTTTGACTACATGAAGCCAGTCTTAATGTAAACTTTTTTAAAAACCTTGCTATTGTCACTCGTTATGAGATTATTAGTATTGGTTTCATTTCTTTGATTACTGAGATTGAATACTTCTCACATATTTGCTGGCCATTCATCTGCTTATGAACTGTTTATGAACTCTTTATGAACTATTATCTGTTTATGAACTTTGCAACTTTTTATTATCTTTGTTTTAAGCATATACATACAATTATATAAAGTTGTTAGATCTATGTAATTTATGCAGTCTATTTAATCTATGCAAATATTCTCTATGTGTCTGCTTTTAAACTTTTTAGTATTGTTTGAAGTATGACGATTTTGAATTTCAACTAATCCAATGTATTTATTTCTTTACATTTGTTTCTCCTAAGGCTTCCCTACTTAGAAATTTCACTACGTTTAAAATCAGATAAATTTCATTCTACCTTTTTCCCCAGATTTTTTTCTTTCTTTTCTATCTCGCTGTCTTGTAAATTCCCATTATTTTGGTCTTTGTCAGGGAACAAAAATAGATTTCATTGAGTGTTGTTTATTCACTCACTCAATTAAATCGTGCTCAGTGTTTATTAGGTACTACATAGAGTGCTAGAGACCTTGTTGGTAAAGGCAGATGTTCAGAGGGACACTGAAGTCATATCTGAAGTTGATGCAGGCTGGCTGGGTCCGAGGACCCAGAGGGGTACCACAAGACCAGTCAAGAGGGTCCTTGGCTTCTCACACGCAGGACAGAAATCAGACGTGAGCTGAGAAGAAGTGAGAGCAGAATTTATTAAACATAGAGAGTGTAGAGACAGAGCATCTGAGAACCTCAGAAAGGAAAGAAGAGTGAATTTTGTCTTTGCTTGGGGCCTGGGGTTTTAATTGATGGTTGTGTTCCAGGGCGCAGTGTCTTCTCACGCATCTAGAAACTAAGATGAGGGTCTAGATGCTCTCCATAAGTCACTTATGCCCTGCAGCCAAGGGTCTTGATGAGTCTGAGGTCTCAGGAAACATTCATGACGACCCAACCTAGTCACTCCTTAGATGTGCTGGAAGACTGCAAAAAAGAAAAAGGAAAGAAAGAAGAAGGAGGAGGAGGAGGAGGAGGAGAAGAAGAAGAAGAAGAAGAAGAAGAAGAAGAAGAAGAAGAAGAAAAAGAAGAAGAAGAAGAAGAAGAAGAGGAAGAAGAAGAAAGGAAGAAAGAAAAAAGAATAGAAAGGAAAGAAAAAAAAAGAAAGAAATCATTAAATCCTTGACTTTTACAAAGAGGACATACACCATCTGTTTGTTTGTTTTTTTAAATTACGTTAAAGATTCTATTTATTTGTCAGAGAGAGAGGGAGAGCATGCGCGTGCCAGCAAGGGGAGCTGCAGGCAGAGGGAGAGGCAGGCTCCCCTCTGAGCAAGAAGCCCAATGTGGGACTGGATCCCAGGACTCTGGGATCATGACCTGAGCCGAAGGCAGATGCTTAACCGGCTGAGCCACCTAGATGTCTCACACTTTTTAAAATAAGGTACATGTAACGTAAGGGTGAAGGTCCTAGCAAGAATAGAAGCAAGAAAAGGAGCAAAAACAGTTTTTCATGGGGTTGCTTTAGTTTCCCTGTCCCAAAGTCACTAAGTGAAACAGTTCACTTAATTCATTGCTGTTGGTGGAAGAGAGAGAGTGGGAAGATGTGTGTGAAATGGCTGCCCCGAGCTAGATAGTCTACCCTCCTGTTCCATGGTGTGATACCAACTCACTCTTTATAGAAAAACAGATCTTAGGATCAGGTATATGTTCAACAATGTTAAAACCAACAAATGAGTAGAAAGCATCATTATCCTGAAGAGAATAGATTTTCATGAGTTATTGAAAATATCCACCTTTTCCCCCTCTTTATCTAATTACTTAAAAGAAGCAGTATACAACAAATTATTTTTCTTTAAGCACTTTAACATGATTGCAATAATATCACTTATGCAATTTCACATTCTCCTTTTTGCATTTAATGTTATGAAACATTTGTAAAAGTCATAAACTGCTTAGTAAACATATCTAACAGTTATACACAAAACCTTTTATATACATAAAAGATTTTAAATGGGCCAATTACTGTTACTCAAAGCAGAGTCTGTTTTTCTTCTTAAATAAATACATACCGTTTTACAGATTCTCTATTTGGGATATTATCATACAATCATGCCCATTTTGGAGGGTGTGCACATTTAATCAGAGTGAATTAATACAAGTACACACAACCTTAGGCCTCTCAAACAAATTTCTTTTTCAGTTAGCCAGGTACTCTTTTCAATTTTCTTCCTCTTAGTGACTCTTAAGACCATTCATTCTATAATTTATTGAGCCTCTAAAATGGAAAATGAACTATAATAGAACATTGCCTTAAGAAGTAACATTCCAGACATTCCAGTGCATTTAATGTGGCCCTTCAAATCTTTAACCTATCCCTCTCCACGAGCTCCTTGAAGAAATTCTTGTGTGTGCTAATCCAAAAATAAAAGCCCCCACAGCAAACTTGCCCTCAACCTCATAGCCTTTTCACGCTCCGCTCAATCTATCTTCCTTTGCAGGCAAATTACCAAAAGCAGAGTTCACCCTACTACTCCTCTCCTTTACTTGTCCGTCGCCCATTTATTCCCCAGAGCACTGTAATCTTCCACTTCACCCCAATCAGATCCTTTCAGGCCTCCTTGCAGGCTTTATCTCAACTTCCTTTGAGTTCTATCAACAAAGCTCAAAGTTCTCTTCTTAATACTTTCGGTTTCCCTGTTACTTCTCTCACACACCTTTTCTTGATCACCAGTTCCTCCTTTTACCTCACTAGTCATTTCAGTGTATGCTAGAATCCCTTAACTCTGTTGAACCAACTCACGGGACGATGGGAGGCTCTCCCCTCTGTCAGTCAGTACCTTCCCTGTGCACTTCAGGGCCGAGGACTCCTGGCACTTAAACTAATCTCCGCTTGGCCTGTGTCTGCCTACCTAACTGAATGCCTCACAGAAACCAGTGGGTTGTTATAAAAGCTGCTTATGCAATTGCATTTGCTATTTTAATTATGTAATTTAATCAACTGTTGTGTAAACTAATGAAATAGGAGAGTGAAAAAAATAAGAGTTGTTTCTATGAAAATTGAGATAAGTGATTTGGAAAAGCTCCATAATGGCTGGTATCTGAAAGAAAAATTGCAGTCAACTTAAGTGAAAAACAAAACCAAGAAAAGCTCCTTCCAATCTAGACATTTTTGAATGACCTTACCATACAAATATCCTGAAGATCTTGCCCCACTCAGTGAAGCAGAGACTGGAATCTGAACGATGTTCTTTGGCTTCAGCAGCTAAGCTGAGCTCCCACCAACAACAGATCCGCACACAAAACAAAGGCTTTGCCCTGCATCAAAAGAGAATGGAAGCAAAGTGATGTTTCTTTGTTTTGAGGGGTCTATGCATCACTTTTCTTTTTCCCAGCTTGAACTGCCTCTGCTGATTAACCGATCCCATTGCCTGGTCTAACAGGAAATCATGGTTACATCATGAGGCCTCTTGTTCTCTTGCTTTGTTCTCTCCTTGAATAATTTAATTTCCAGCCAGAGTTTTGATTTGGCCTTTAAATCAACAAATCAAATCCACAAGTTCTTCACTGGAAGGGTCCATGGTTCATTCATCATTATATCCTCCACCTTCCATTTCACTCCCCGCATTATGCCTTGCACACAATAACTACTTGAGAAAATTGTTGACATAGAAAGCATAATGAAAACCTTAGTCTGTAAATTGTAACCAAGGAATTAGAAATCTAGCTTGAATAAGTGGATTACAAAAGTCCCTTGGTTTAAGGTCATAATTCATCCCTTCTCAACTATTAAAGAAGTTCAATTAATAAATATGATTGGAAAATTATTGTTTTAAACTGGGTATCTTTTTTTTTTTTTTAAATCAACTGTTAGTTTTCCAGAAAAGTATAAATAAATTTAGGTCAACAGTGACAAGTATCCCTACAAATTCAATTTTATCTAAATGAAATCCAAAGTTTGTCTTCTCTCTTGAATCCTGTGGGCTCATTCTCTCTGAAGTGAGGCAGCACAGATAGGATCATCCCTTGCATTTTACAGATGAGAGAATTAAGGTCCTAACTGTTACTGACTTGCTGTTGACTTCATAGATAGTTTGTAACTTAAACGGGATTTGTATCCTCGCAGTAGGCATCTTGAGTCACCTTTTGAATGTTCCTGAAGCCCTTTACAATTGGGCAAGAGAATCAGGAACAAAGAAGCAAAAAGTGAAACTCTTCTGTCCTTTATTATGACTCATCTGCTTATCAGCCTATCTAGGATTATGCCATTAGGGTTCAGTCCTTTGGCTTAACCTATTTTCTCACGAAATTCTTGAGAACAATAATAAGCTAATAATTCACTCGTTAATATCTTCCTGTTAATTAATGGATCCAATTTACTTTCCTTGGAATAACTGATAACTTGTAGGACAGTAATAGATGTTTTGAGGAAGATTATATTAGATTTTTGTCCTTTGTCTTCAAGAAGGGAAAGACAGTGTGTGTATGTGGGTGGGTGATAGGGAGTGAAGGGCATAGTCCTAGACAAGGATCCTGGGAAACAAAAGATTCCTAGGATGTTGGATGCCAAGATTTAAGGAGCTGCACTAGAGAACAGAATGAGAAGGAGCAGAGCGCGAGAAGACATGTGTTTTTACTTCTCAGTTTTAACGTGAGTAGAACTTAATGCTGAGGTAACTTGACTCTTAGGATCTTTTTCTTTTTTTTGAAAGTTTGGCCTATTTTATCTCTAAGTGAAACCATTGATAATCCCTTTGTTTTGACTCAAAATATTCCTGAAACTAGAGCATAAAAAACCTTTATGGAGCAGATTATGATTCCCTTAGGAATAGTTCAGAAATTGAATGTTGAATTTCTGACCCAGGACTTAGCATTGGATACATCATGAGTATGATCAGCCATGTCCCATGACAATTAGGAAATTACTACATGTATCTATCATATAATACTAAAATTCTAATACCGATTCTATAAAATGGTCATGGATAAACCAAGCATGTCTTTTATACAAAGCAATCAACAAACTACGCATTTTGGGGGGGAACCTTAAAAATGTCATATTTCGTTGGCTCCTGATCTTCCCACAGTCTATTCGTCTGAAGTCTCTGAAGACAGTAAGCTGGTGGAAAGCTGCCTGAATGAGCCAATGGAAGATTTGGGAAGTCCGCCTCACCTGAGTCTCACATACCGTCCTTTCCCGTATATTCTAATATTCTATGAAACTAACTTTCCTAAAAGTGATATGCTAGCTATAATGAACATTAAGCAACAAATTAAAAATATTTCTTAAACCTGGAGATTCACAGACCTGTACCCCTGGGTAAAAAATATATATATATGTTTATAAAAAATAAAATTAAAAAAAATATATTTCTTATGCCACCTTAGAATCTGGAAGAGTTTACGGTATGCTCAACTGTCCTGCTTTTAGAAAGATGTTAAAGACATTTGAAATAATAGTTCTTATTTCCTTAGTTTAGCTACACATCTACAGATTTAGGGCCTCCTAAATATTTTTCATGTTTTAAATTATGAAACAATTTTCATGCTTTGTTAATCTGCTAACAATTACCACCAGGTCATTAGCAAAATTTTGTGGAAAATGAGTTTCAAAACACCTCTTACAGAGTCCTCAAAAAAACAGAATACCTTGAATGTAGCTTTCTTTTTTTTTTTTTTTTTCAAAGATTTCATTTATTTATTTGACAGATCACAAGTAGGCAGAGAGGCAGGCAGAGAGAGAGAGGAGGAAGCAGGCTCCCTGCTGAGCAGAGAGCCCGATGCGGGGCTCGATCCCAAGTCCCTGGGATCATAACCTGAGCCGCAGGCAGAGGCTTTAACCCACTGAGCCACCCAGGCGTCCCTGAATGTAGCTTTCTTTACTTCTCAAAACAGTACATATAAGTGGCAAGCAGGAAGCCGTATATTAATTAGATGATAGCAAATGGGTGAAGTGGCAAAAAGGCAGAGATGGTAAGTATAGTTTTCTACAGAGGAAAAAGGATAGTTGATTTCTGCAAAATTCACAAGAAAAGGTTGAAGCTGTGCTTTATTAATACTGAAACACCATTTACAATTTTATTTTTTAATTGATATATAGTTGACATATAACACATTAGTTTCAGGTGTATGACATAATGATTCAATTTAAATATTTATTGCAAAATGATCACCGCAATAATTCTAATTAGCATCCATCACCACACAGTTACAAATTTTTTTAAAAAATTGTTTAATATTCATCACCTTTTCTTAGGTAGATGTCTCTTGCAAACTGTTGAATTCAATTTGTAGTAAAGAGATTTAATTCAAAAGTTTCACGGACAATGGAAACTACTCAGTCTAGGATGGGTCATCTATTTTTACAAATTATACACCTACTGTATCCCTCAACTATATATTTCTTGCCTTTCCCTATTTTGAAAATGAACAAATTTTAGTGAAATGACAAATTTAGTAAAACTGGAAAGAATGCTAAGATTTCCAAATATTACCTTAGTCCTTCTCAAATGTAAGGCCTTGAATCTTGAAGTTAATTTCTTCCTCCCTTAGAAATAAAATATTAAACTGGTAAAATACCTCAGGATATAGAACTTTTAAAATTATATATATTGTTAAAAATATGGCACATAGAAATGTAAGTATATAATACTAGTTTAAACATGATAAATAAAAATAAAATAGAACTAGCAACGGACCTCACAAGACCATTAGAAATAGCTCATCTGTTACAAGTTCTACCCAAAGGCAATGTTATGTAAACTCAATTTATACCTGGATAGTTTCCCTGATGTTGGCCTCTCAAAGGCTTTATACTGATATTTTTAAGAAACTAGCAGCATACTTCACCTTGGAAAAGTAATTTTATAAAGACACTGCCATTAGTGATTTTATATACTTCTACATACCCTTCTTGAATTTGAAATAATGGGTGAGTCCAGGTAATAATTTTTGTTCTCTTTCAAATTTTATGACTAAAATATTGAGTTGTGTTTTATGGCCTACATTTATTATATTCTGTAGAGTCAGCCAGCAGCTTTAGGCAAAGAATACCTTTGGAGTCTGAAATCAGATGCAAAGGAATCAGGGGTTTCAAATGAGTAATCATGTATTCCAGAAGCATAAGAATGTTCCAAAGATTCTGAAATACAACTAAATACTGCATACTGTGTAATGTGTGAGTAATAATTTCCCAATCCTCTGTACAATTTCTTCCTTCCTTTCTCTGTCTCTTTCCCTTCCTCCTTCCCTCCTTACCTTTCTTTTCAGTTAAGATAATTTTGTCTCCTAGTATGGGCCAGGATTATTGCTATAAAACTTCATTTCCTCCAGAATAGTTTTGGTAGTACGTCTGGAGGAAGAGTTTATTTAGCAAATCATACTCTAATAATGGTAAGGACTTTTCTTAAGGAATTTTAACAAGGTGGCAGGAATTACCCAGTCTCGATTTTTAAGAGTAAAACTGAAAGAGGGAAATTTAAACAGTGGTAGATTGAATAACAATTAAGACTATTTGGTATCTGTATGACAGAACAAAATTCTAAAACTTCCTTAAATAATTTTCTTTTTAAACCAGGTTCTCATTTTAACTGACCAGACACAGTTTGTTCATATCATTTGTTAAAAAAGAATGAGAACTTGGCTTCCACAGGAAAACAGCAGGATTCTAACCTAGATCTCCTTCTGCTGAACTCCTACATTTCTGCATGTTGTGGGTCCTAGAGCTATCACAGTCCCTTCAATAAACTTTCGTTTCTTTACCAAACTGAGGCTGATACTTAATCTGGGTGTGATAAGTGAGATAGTGTTAATTGTAAATGAAAGCATTTGAACAATATAATTACTGTTATAACTTATTATTTATTAGGGAAAAGCATTTTATTAGGGAAAAGCCTGGCAAACTTAGGTTTCGTGATAATATAAATGTCATTAGGCTAGCATTTGTAATGAGGGTTATTTTATGGTTTTAGCATTTCAGAGTCTACCTAAAAAAGTTCTGCACCAGGGACCGACCATCTTTATGTTTAATGTGGCTACGCAGATCTACCCTCATTTTGAGCACTTGTCTATTATTGGTAGTGATAACTAAAGTCTGGTTAGAGTATCATAAAAACTATGCAGCATGAAATAAATTCCATGACACTTCTGAGGCATTTGAGAAATAATTTACTTTCTTAGAAGTTAGGTCAAGAGCAGAAACAAAATTATCATTCACGCCTAACCTGAATTTTCCCTCCTCAAGTACATAAAAAGAACAAAAGCACTGTTTTCTTTGAATTTGATTTTCTTTGAAGAGGTTTGTGATTATTACGTTTTACTTTGTTTTACATAGGGAACCTTTGTTAGCCTTCAAAATGTAATTTAGCAATGTAACTGATGTACTTTTGCAACCAATCAAGCAAATACATATGACAAAATGTATGCATACTTATTTCAGCCTCTGAGATTTGTTTTCAAATTACTCTGTTTGGAGCCCGGGGAAGAATATGAGATCATTTATTTCCCGTCTGCCAAAGGCAAGCTGATTTCCCCAACCCACATGGACAGTTGAGCAGTAAGTCTATCGTGTTAGCGTGCCTGAGTCTCCCGACTCGTGTCCTGCCATCCGTGAGCACACAGGTATTCGTGCTAGCACGCGGATGGGGCAAGAGTCCAGGGGCAAGACCTCTCCCTGTGCGGCTACGCAGATTATGCTGACGGTATAGCCATCCCGTGTGTCTGCTGCACCTGCCCATTGGCTGGGGAAAGAAAGAAAGGGTATTCGGTAGAGTCTAAGCAGCGGCTTCCACCCACTCCCTCCCACTTACATACACTGTACTCTCTCCCCACGTGCATTCCGAGGGCTGGATCGCACACATTCACTTGCACTCTCACACACGTGCGCACCATACCTCGCCCAGCCGCAAGCCGGGACACGTCGCCCGGGCACCCCAACCTCCCCGCCCCAGGCTCGGCGGGCTCTCCCCACCCACCCGCGCTCCACGTGGGCGCACCCCGGCGCCAGGCGGCCGCGCTGCCCACGGAGCCCCTCGCGGGCCCTCGCGGTGGGAGGGAAGGCGCGGCCCCGGGGTCGGACGGACAAAGCGGGCGTCCAATCGAGCCCCGCACTGCCTCCCCGAAGGGAGGGAGCGGCGGCTCTGACGGGCCCAATGAGCGGGGAGCCCGAGTGGGACTTCCTCCCGGAATCCCGTTGGCCAGAATAGCGGGGCCGTGGGTGACACGTAAGTTGGGTGGGAGGCGGCGGCGGCCGAGGTTCAGCAGCCCCGTCAGTGACACCGGCCCGCCGTCCCCCGCACCCGGCCGGGCCAGCCGGTGCCCGCCCATCCACTACCTCGGCCGGCCGCGCGCGGAGGCGCCGCCTGGAGTCGGGTCTCTTTGTTGGGCGCGCACCCCCTCCTTTTGGTGGCAACAAAGTCGCGCAGTGGGAGCCGCCGCGAGGGGCGGGGAGCGGCCGGGGCGGGACTCCGAGCGCCGCCGGGGGCAGCCGAGCCAAAAAGTGGGGAGGAGGAAAAAAGGCAGACGGCGTCTGGGGACCGGCGCGGGCACAGCCTGCTCGGAAGTATGCGGAGGGCCCCCTCCCGGGCCCGGGCACTCGCGGAGAGCCAGCCTCGCAAAAGTTTGCCGGCCGCTGCCCAGGCGGCGTCGATGGCTGCGCGCCCCGCGGCGCGCGGGGGCTGAGCGGGCGCCACTTCCCCTCGGGCCCCGCTTTTGTGTCTCGCGTCTCCTCCTCATGCTGCGTCCGGCCACCTCTTGCGGCGGCCGCTGCTGAGGCGCTCGCTCCGGCGGAGGGGAGGAAGGGACGGCGGCGGCGGGGGCGGCCGCGGCGCGGGGTCCCGGCGGGACTATGGGAAACGGGATGTGCTCCCGAAAGCAAAAGCGGATTTTCCAGACGCTGCTGCTGCTGACCGTGGTGTTCGGCTTTCTCTACGGCGCGATGCTCTACTACGAGCTGCAAACGCAGCTGCGGAAAGCCGAGGCGGTGGCGCTCAAGTACCAGCAGCACCAGGAGTCCCTTTCCGCCCAGTTACAAGGTACGGTTAACGGGACGCGCGCGGCCGGTGGCCAACTTCGCCCCGCGCCTCCCGCCCCGACTGGAAAAGTGGCTTTGGTGAAACGTTAGCGCTGCGGGTGCCACCTCTGACCATCGCGGACATCAGAGGCGAGCCATGCTGGGCCGTCGGGTCCCCGAAGTGTAAAGGGAGATGACATCTCCACCTCCCACTTCCTCCGGCGGTTACGTTTGAAATTGGTGGCACCAGCCGCGGGTCCCGGGGGGCGTTGGATGGGCCGGCGCCCACTGAGCCTTTTACCCCAGCACTTGTCTGGCCCAGCTGTAGTCTGCGCAGGCCGACCAGTAGCCCTTCCTCGGTTTCTGCCAACCCATCTCGGAGGGGCATGGTCTCAGTTGCTGTGTATTCGCTGTGCAGTTGACTTTGTCAGTAACATAAGAAATGGAGAGTTTGGCAGTGATTTCTCAAACCGTGCTGGGGTTTTTTTTTTTTTCCCCCAAGAGAAGTTTAGCCGTGACCTCGCTGCCCAAACTAATGGCCCATTAGTTTCTGTTAACTTAATAGGGTGACTTTAACGATGTTGGGAGTGTTGGAAAAGTCCTCACTGCTACTGTTCCCCATCCTGCTGGTATGTTTGGGGGAGGGTAAAAAAAAGTTTGTCTTCCTGAGTAACTTTTAGTTTGTCATAGAGGTGGGAGTGTATGTGCGTTGTGTATTTTACAGTCACCCTTGAGAAGCCCAAGAGAAGAAACAGTTTTTCATTCTATCAGATACAGTGAACACAACTTGAGCCAGACCTGCGGAAAGATTTAAAGTTCCTATCCTTCTATTTTAAAATCTCGTTTAATGTAAATTTCAGAAACATAAATGATGCATGACTGCAAAGTAAGCACCGCGTGGTCTTAAGAGCATAGTCCCCCTATACATATTTTTTGAAAGCTTTTACTTGTGTCTAGTTTTCAACACTCATGCAGTCCTCTCCCCAACCAAAAATAAAAAATAATAATACTAGAAAGCTGTGAGTAGTGAAATGTTGACAGTCTTTGCTGATAATGCAAATATAGCTTATTTCATATTACTGGGAAGATACAAGCTGGATGGATGTTTGTGTCAGTGTATGTGTATACAAATAGAAAACAGATGCCTTTTCGTTGCTTCAGCTATTTTGAGTGTTTTCTAGTAAAAAAAAAAAAAAGAAAGAAAATGACATGCTGCTGATTGCTTGGTCTTATTTTCTCTTCCCAACTTAGAAGAAAGGGAAGTATTTTTAGCTTACTGAAGCTGCATAGCCACAGGCAGTGAAAATATGTGAACTGGGTTTAGTTCTAAAGGAAAACCTGTTTTGATACAGACCTGGGTTAAGAACATTTTTCTTTAAACTTGTTGAAATTTACCCATGGCTTATCATTGTTATTCAAATTCTGGATATTTATGTATTTACCTATTTACGTAGAAGACATTAGTGGTTTCCCTATGAAGTTCAGTACAGTTAGACAAAAGGAAAATTTTGTCATCTAATACTGCCAAGGGCAGGACTGGATTTTCACACATGTGACTAGAAGGGGCATGTATGGTGGATTATGTGAGGTTGGTGCCTTAGTGTCTTAGTTTAGGGGACCCATGCAAACAGACACTGTCAAGTTCACCAATACATCCTTAGCACTGCACAGTGCCTGACACTCATGAGGGAATCAATATATATTGATTCCCTCAACAAATGAGCTGTTATCCTGAACTGTGTTGAGAAAATAAATCCTGCAGGCTATTGTCTGCTTTCTCAGGTTTCCCTTTCCTGTCTCTGCTTTTTGAAACAAAACAAAACAAAGTAACAACAAAATATTTTGCCCAAGTAGAGCTTCTGCCTCAGCAGCCAATGCTGGAACTCTGACTGAGGCCCTGATTTCTGAGTCACAGCCTGTATTTGCAGTATTTCTTTTTCTTTCTTTCTTTTCTTTCTTTCTTTCTTTCTTTCTTTCTTTCTTTCTTTCTTAATTTTAAATTTATTTTTTTTTCAGTGTTCCAATATTTATGGTATTTCATTTTGAAAATCAATCTCAATTTCTTTTCTCCTTTGATTTGCCGCCTTTTGGTGGTGATGGTGGGGGGAGAGTGGTGGTAAGTGATAATACAAGGCCATTAAAATCTTCAACATTTGTTTTGTTGCAGATGAAAAAATGTAGCTAGTTCAAGTGGCCTTAATGTTTGTTTCTTAAAGTATTTTGCCATTTCCTTGAGTTGTGGTGCTGCAACAATTATAACATGGTTATGCATGAAGAATTATTTCCTAAGCAGGCTGCAGTTTCTTCTTATTTTTTAATGGATTGATGATTGGCTTCTGTAGCATTTATTTTGGATTTCACATCTTCATGCCATTTAATGAGGATTTTTCTGACGGTATGCCGCTTTTGCTTCCCTTTTCCAATGACAAATGACATTTTACTCAGCAGCTCTGTGTTGTACCACCTGCATAGATTTGTTTTGAAGGCATTAGGCTCTCCATTCTTAGAACTTGTTTAGTTAAGTGAGATCTCTTGACCTGGCTTGGATTAAGATCAGAGTTAATTATGAGTGGCCTTCTTTAGGAAAAAAAAATATATGTGACTCTTGAAATGTTTAAGTAGTTTGGCCCTGTAATCTGAAGGTATACATTTGTTAAGTGAGCATTTTTAGGTCATCTTCAGTTTAAGGATGGGTTGTACTCCAGAGATTATTTTGAAAGTAGGTTATGTCTAACTCCAAGTGCCTTTTGCAGTAGACCCGTGCCATAAATAGGAGACGGTGAGGGGTGACCTGGGGAAAGTTCCAAGACTAAGCAGCCCCCTTTCCAGGAAAAACAAATGTCTATGTCTGCCTGGCAATATATCTATTTACTTCGCTATCTCCCACTTCTGCCACATGGAAATTACACTGAGCAGTGGGGCAGAGGTTATATATTGGTGGTAGAGGCAGTAGTTACAATCTCTGACTAGCACAGTGTTTAATCTCTTAAATTTTTTAAAAACTGCTTTCAGGTGGGCCATACCCCACTCCTTGTGTCAATACACAGTGTTTCTTAGCTCCCACTGCCCATTAGAATCAGTGGGCAGCTCCCAAACCAAATCAGTCACCATCTGTGGGGGTGAAACCCACATGGTGCCCTCCCCAGGTGATTACAACATGCAGCCAAGGTTGAGAAGTGCAACCCTGTAATCTTAAAACTGAGCCACTTGACACATTTACTTTACTTGGCCGCAAAGACATGTGAGGGTTTTGTTGTTGCTTTTCCTCCAGCATGTGATTCAAATTCTAGCCCTGCAACATTCAGTGAACTTGGCCCTCATTTTTCTTCTTTATAAGATAGAGATTAGAATGATCTATTTCACAGGAATAACGTGAGGATAAAATAATGAATGTGTAGAAGCTCCTAGCACATCCCTGGCACATAGTAGGAACTGCTCCTTAAAGACGATCTGTTATTATCATCATGGTCCCTGTGTGAGGTAAGGTATTTCACAGCTTTCTCTTCCCACGTTTATCATGGGTAAACATTTTAAAATTGACAAAATTTGTTTTTATAATTAGCTACCTCCTTTTATTTTACCTGATTGGACATCAGAGGAAATGGGTAAATGCACATAAATCCAGATACTTTCCTCTGGAGAAGGGACCTTCACTGAGAATTTAAATTTAAAAAATTAAAGTAGGGTTACTGATTAACTCTCTTTGTCATACCAGATAAGAAGAGGGTGTGTCTCCTAGTGGTAGGCAATAACCTTGTGTAACAGGATCTGGAATAGAGATGGAACTATTTAAATTTGTTAAAAGTAGGGGTGAATAGCCCCTTATTTCTGAAACATTTTTGTAGTGCTTTTGGTCTTCCCAGTGACGGCCAGAAACCATTAAGAAAAGGTTTATATAATGTTTCCTGTGCTCTTGTTCCAGATCAATATCTTAGAACTATTAAAGTAAAAAGAAAAAAAAAAAGGTGGGGGTTGGGCCCTGGGTGGCTCAGTGGGTTAAGCATCTGCCTTTGGCTCAGGTCATGATCCCAGGATCCTGGGATAGGATTACCACTTTGAGCTCTTTGCTCTGCGGGGAGTCTGCTTCTCCTTTTGCCCCTCCCCCTGCTCATGCGCCTATGTTCTCTTAAAATTTTTTTTTTTAAAAGTTTGTTGCTTCTAAGGCTCATACTGTTATTTAAGTTAGTTGTCCCTTACATTGTGTTTTCCTAACACAGGATGGCACGCTAGCCTGAGCATGAACATATCACATTGGAACTGGCGGCTTCTTTGTTTTCAGCCTCCCCTGAATGTGCTTAAAAAAGAATAAAAGTCTCCTTCAGCTCAGGGCCAGGCTTTCTTTCATCTCCAGTGTCTGGTGCCTGGCATATAGTCAGTGCTCAGGAGAGAGTAGGTCTATACCTCTGTGGTGTTTTCTGGCTGCTTATGAATGTGCTTCATACAGTGGGCGGGGAAATGTGGTGGATACAGGCTGAGGAGTCAGAGCACTTAGGTTTCAAGGCTTTCTGTCTTTTTTAAATTTTTTTTTAAACCAGCTGTATGATCTTGGGCAAGTCACTTCTCTGTGACCCACTTTTATTGTAGGTTATAATCAGAATAATAATGCTTATAATAGGTTGTCATGAGGATCAATCATGTTAGTTGGCATACAGTGCTTAGAAGTATAAGGCTTACATTTTGGACTGTACAACAGAGTGGTTCACAGAACTCAGTGATTTTAGATCTATGAGCATGGGCTGTATGTGGTATTAGGTATTCTCATTTTCAAGTGCAAAATTAGGCCTTATAGACATCAATGAGATACGGTTCATTAGATGAACACTTTCATTTAAAAAACAGAACAGAATTTTAAGTTCAATAGTTTTATTTGTATGTAAATCCCTTGCCCTAAAACGCATTCCTTGAATAAAAGATGAAAGCTTCTAGGTACTTTGTGAAAATCTGACTCAATTAAGCATTCTGTTAAATATATATGATTTGCACAGATTTGTATGATTCTACATATTGTGTCTGCCTTAGTCA